TCTATTAGTTTAGTTGCACTAATGACACCAGGGCCATAAGGTCAAAACCCACATGTACCAATTAGTTTCAAAGAGAAAAGCTTTTCCACATCTATACCCCTAACTTTGACCAGCTATCATACAAATGCACGGCTGGCAGTCTAAAGGCTACCAAGCAAAGGAATGCAGATGGTACAGTTTAAATCTAGCCCCACTGAAAACAATGCTAATGGTGAATGAATGTGTCTTCCAATGCCCCAAATTGTACTGTCTTCTTTAATTGGAAAGGCAGTATCAATAGGCCAGGAAAAGGCTTTTGGTGAAGATTTAGAAGCCTATGGATTAATATTTGTCTTCTTTAATTTATTAAAGAGCAGCTAAAAATGAACCTACTCACTTGTCCCTACAGCCAGGAGAGAGAGAAAATGTAGATATGAGAACTGTCAGCTGGTCCTTCCTAGCAAAAAAAATATGGCATTCTGTTTTCATGAGGCATGTGCTCCTTTGGCCAGATAACCTGCATGTATTTGATCATGTATGAGCTTATATTCTATCCCAGAGGGGTTGAAACCCAGCTTAAAACAAAACAAAACAAAGAAGCTGGCTCCTCTTTCTTTAAGTGGGTGGACTCTCCTATCTTTGGGAACCAACAGAAACTATGCAAAGCAGATAAAGGAGACTAAATGTTCTTTGGTTACTACTTAAATCCAAGGTTCTCCTTTCTTGAATAGCACCAAATCCTTGTTAACTACAACATAGACTACGAGTCTGTTAAAGTTAGAAGAGGTTATTTACTTTAACAAAATCCCCTTGTTTTATAGACAAGGACATTTCAGCCCAGGAAGTTTAAATGCCTGCCAAAGTCATACAGCTAATGAATGGCAGGTCTGGAGTAGTTTTCTGAGTACTATATATCAAAGGAAAGAAGCTTGAGTTAATAACAATAACCTAGATCTCAGAAGGTTGTTGCAATCAATAACAATGAAAGTTAATTGCAAAGTTTCACTTAAACTCTTAAAAAACAGCATGTTTTAACACATGAAGAATGCCATTCGTTTATACAGACCTGTTCTTAATAACTATGCATTGGAAGTATGCTTTACAAAAGCTATAAATCTGGAAGAGCTGAAAGGGTATCCAACTTTCTTTTCTAATTGATTTACTTCTCCTTTTTCCCAGACTGCTGAGGTAAAGCATATACAGTTTATTTAAGGGACTGTTTATAGACTCTTAAAACTAAAAAGGACCCCAGAAACTCTCTTTCTTTTGGTTACTCTTAATTGAAACCATCCAAGGTGGTGGATTGTCCGTTAATTTTTTAAGTATCTCCAAGGAGAAAAATTCTACAAGCCCCTAAGTAGCATGTTAAAATGGTTAATTACTACGGTTGTCAAAAATTATATCTATGGCAAGCTTAACTTCTCCTATTTCACTTGAAGCTCTTTTCTTCTTGATGTGTTTCATGCAAAACAAGGTTGTAATGAGCCACCCTGTATAAGGGCTCCATCAATCTAGTAAGATAATAGCCAGCTCTTTCCTAATGTGCTTTCACCTCCATTATGCCACCAGTTTTCTCACAGGACTATGAGAGCACAAGGCTGGTTGATAGGCTCTCTTGCTATGATGTATAGAGAAGAATCAGTAATTAGCTCTTTACTGGATCTTTCATTTCATAAAATGTCTGGGGAAGCTATATTAATTATGGATGAACTATTCCACTTATGCTGGGAAGATATTCATGAAACAAACAATCAAGAAGGCTGCTTCCACTGCTCCAGTGGAACTTGGGCTTGAAGGGAAATATGAGCTCATTCACAAAATTTGGTCTATACAAAGTAAGCATTACAAAAAATTTTATTCAAAAGTTCAATGGTTAAAACACTCTCCTTGTTAAATATTCTGGACTGACAACAAAGAGATAGATATGGAAGCAATATTCTTTTAGATGTTTGAATTTCAAACTAAGATCAGAAACTGCCTTCTACTATCTGTACTTCCAAAATGGAACAATAAGAGTGAACTGACAGGGGACAGAGGTGGGGGAAGAATGCTTCTCTCTAGAAGTATTTCAAAGACTGTAAATGGTTAGAGCTGACTTCTCCACACACAGTAAATCTCAGGGGATGAAAAGGAAACTCAATAAAATTTGTTGACAACAGTTAATGCCTGTAAGAGTAATTGGCTCAGACACAAAACAGACCATCAATGTAGGTTGGGGATGACCAAAATGCAGCGTCTAAGTCACTGTTACTGTATGTTATATTCAGTACGAATATAACATTGATAAGTTTTATCAAATGACTGGGTGAACATGAGGTGACAAGTATTGTCCAAAGTACTTCACAATCCTAATTCTTTGATAGTTCTTAAGACTAAGATCCCAAACAAGTAATTCCGTTAGATTCAACTGGATTCGATTCAATTCAATCCTGTCAGTTCAACAATCAAATATGGGTAGCTACTGTATCAGCCAGGCATTGAGCAAGACACTGGGATATGTCTTTTGGTATCAAGAAGCCCACTGGGAGGGCATTATTCATGGTGCAGTAGAAGCCAAATGAGACAAAATAATCAAGACAAGCCTAAAGGATATAATCTATTCTTCATAGTTATTTTTCTCTTGATAATATTTATGTGCATATTCTTCCCTCCCAAATAGACTGTGAGCTCCTTGAAGGCAAGGCCATTTTCATTCATTTCCAGGCATCTCATTCATGCCTAGTACAGTGTTTTACTCATAGAAGATGCTCCATCAATGTCTTAAATTAAATTAAAAGAATTTAAAGGGGCAAACTTTGCTTGAGCAAACAGGATTTCCCAGTTGATTAGAAAGTTAACAAGAATACATCTGTGCATGAGAGTCTATGTCAGACAACGTATTAACATAAGTCATGGAATTCTATAAGGGGGAACATATGAAACATATACTCTCAATGACAACACTGACAATAACACACAGTTTACAAAACCCCTTTCTATCCAAAGTCATACTGTAAACATCAAGGATTGCTATATATAACTTTCCCCTTTCATGTTATTAAAACAGAACTTTAAAACATTTGCTAAAATTTGATCTTTATAGTAACAGAACAAAAGAATCCTTTCAGTGCCTTGAAATTGGTTTCCATTATAGTTGTCCAATACTCTTATGTGTCTGTGTGAATTTATATAAGTGTCATACAGTTACTTAAGAAGAAATCATTCTTTCCATTCTCATTTTTCATCATTTAATGCAAGTATCACATGAATAGAAGGATCCAGTTTTCATGCACCATGCATGGAAATCTTGGAGCATGCCATGTTGAACATCACAGTTCAACCTGGCACATAATGGAGGACACTTGTAGGCTTGACCACTACCTAGTGAACTGGGTCAAAGGAAATTGTACAAATGTATTACCAAGGCCAAAAAAATCCTCTTGCGAATAATAAGAATAGTAAGTAAGAACCACTTATTCATTTTTTTAAAAATGTGGATCAGTAGCTGCAAATTATAGAATAATTACAACCCACTGTTGAGTTATGTTGATGTCACATAATTACCTTTCACAGAATGTTTTAAAGGTAAAACAAGTGTGCTATTGGAAAAGTACCCACCCAATGAACTCATTCATCTACCCTACAACAGAGAACTGGATAGATTTGCTTTATTGCCAGAAAAATAAATGAATTCATTCAATTAAAGTACTTGCTAGAAGCAGAGAGTGGGAATTTGCCCATTCAAATAAGAGAAACTACATCTGATTCTCTGTCACTAGTCATTTAAAGACTATTTAATGCCAAATACACGATAAGTACAGATCACCAGTCTCCCCCTACCAGCCTCTTCCTTCCCATTTCCCCTACTCATCTCCAGACTGATATATGCTCACCTCTTCTGCCAGTCATATGCTAATGGAAAGACAGACAGACAGACAGACATGCACACACACACACACACACACACACACCACCTGCCTAGAGAGAGGCTGACATTTAGTAAGAAGATGAGAGAAATTTCAAGTGTGTGAGTCATCACAGGAGCTATTCAAAGCTCAGTGGGTAACTGAGGTAAGCTATCTACACTTGAGTGATATGAACCTGTAAGAATGATTCATGCTCAGTTTCCTGGAACTCTCTAAAATTCCAAAGAATTATACAGAATGAGCATCTGGCTTTACATATTTCACAGTCCTATAATTACAGTGAGATAGACACATGTGGGTAGATTCCTTAAGTGATCAGTTCCCTTGGGTACCATTGACTTTTGCTTATGTTTATTATCTGCAAGCACTGACTTGGCTATCTACTTTTTATTGACTGTCAACTTTGTAATCACCTGAGTCTTACTTATGAGATAAGTGACCCTGTATTTGTCAGAGATCCTTTTCCAGATGAAGATATCACTGGAGAGTCCCAGAGAAGAGCTATGCTAAAGGAGAGCAATAACAACAACAACAAAAAAATCAAGGTCCATTTGCATAGGGGGCAAATTAGTATGAAATTTCAGTTTGCATTTAAAGGGAGCCTATGTATTTGCAACGCGCCTTTGAGCGAAGTTCACCTTCTGTGTGTTCATGATGATTTCATATAGCATGGAGACATCTGGGATGTGCCCCTTAATTCTTTTTTCAAGTCTACACGACTACAGAGTCCTTACTAATTTACCCCAAATAAAAGCACTTAAAACAGCCCTACATGTATTCCATATGTTTATATGTGCACTTCAATACACCAGGGTCATTTTGTACCCTTCTTTCATTGAAAGAAATGGAATAGTGACTACCAGCCACTGAAGTAAGGCTCAGCAGGAAGCAGTTAAAGACAAACAGTTAAGCAGGAAAATTCCATCCCAAATCTGCAAAACCTGCCAAAGCTCTGCTGAAACACTATGCTTACTTTAAGGTGAGGAATCTCAGAGGCTGAGGATGGCTGCCAGCCACGGGCAGTCATTCAGTTATTCACACACTCCCTGTGGTTGTAAATCCACAGAGCCACACACTTCAGACTTTAGCAGCACAGGAAGAGAGAGGGCTACTTACTGAAATAAAAGCCCCTGTCTCCACACACGAACTGAAGAGCGTCCACCAGCTCTGCCCCACACAGCGTCTCCGGTCCAGCGGTGGCGGAGCTGGTGAAGGTGAGCAGGCAGAGGGCCAGGTAGAAGAGATGCGATGACGACATGATGCGCATCTTTACCTGCCGAAGAAACAGAAGGAGGGTCAGCTTTTCTCTGGGTCCTTGCAAGGGCAGTGGGGGTGGGACTCTCAATATTCCATCACTGCCATTAACCACAACTGCCCGGCACAGAAGTAAAGTAAAGTGCATGAGAGGCCACTGGGGGTAGCGGGCTGAGCATGTCTTGGCATCAGACAAGTTGTATTTGATCCTCTTGCTACTGTGGATCCTTGGAGAAGTCATCGTGGAACCCACTTTTTATGTGTGCCTATTAAAATGAAATGAAATGAAATATCTAGAAACATCGACTATGTACATGAAAGATGCTATTATTACAGGAAGATTCCCACATCACTCTGAGATTCTGATAAAACTTTTGAATATAAAAGGTTAAAGTGTGCTCAGTACAAACTTGGGGCCAAATATGTTTTGCTAATTTAAATTCTCTAAAATTTGGCCAGCCACAGATGATGCATTCATTATTACCAGAATATCAAATTAACCAGAACATCATTCCCTGGCTATTAATTAAGAAGAATTTATTGTGGACAAAAAAGGACTTGTGAAAACACTATATATCATTATAATTTTTTTTCACTTAATAATAGAAAGAGAGAGGGAGAGAGTGAGAAAGAGAGAGAGAGAGAAAGAGAGAGAGAGTGAGAAAGAGAGAGAGAGAGAGTGAGAAAAAGAGAGAGAGTGGGAAAGAGAGAGAGACAGAGAGAGAGAGAGAGAAGAGACAGAGAGATAGAGAGATTTCTTACCTGGGGAATATCAGCGGTCAACACCACGGAGAGAGTGAGAAAGAGAGAGAGAGAGAAAGAGAGAGAGAGTGAGAAAGAGAGAGAGAGAGAGTGAGAAAGAGAGAGAGTGAGAGAGAGAGAGTGAGAAAAAGAGAGAGAGAGTGAGAAAGAGAGAGAGAGAGGAGAGAGAGAGAGAGAGAGGGAGAGAAGAGACAGAGAGATAGAGAGATTTCTTACCTGGGGAATATCAGCGGTCAACACCACCACAAATGGAAGGAAAAAAAAAAAAAAGGAAAAATATGAGGATTTAGGAATGAAATTAGCTCATGCTAAGTAGACGTAGATGCTATTCCTTCTGCTTTCTAAAGCCCTCTGCCTCAAGCCCAATATTAAATCAACACATGTATAGAGTCTCTTCTGTGAACAGGGCACTGGGATCAAAAGCTGCTAAAGTGTTTTTTTTTTTTTTCCTCCTGAGTCAGGAATTCTGACTTCACTTCTTGGAGGGACTTATGTGTCACTGTATCAATTTTATAGCAAAATATACCGAGGGACCCCTGGTTGGCATGACTTAGTCAATGATAGACAGCCAAATGGCAGCCCTGCCAAGAGCAGGATTCCTGTGGCTCAAGTCTCCATCCTCACGCTAAGTAGTAGAAAAAACGCTAGGGTTATCATTAAGTTTTTCCAGATTGCTACTTGTGGCACAAAGATGTGGTTTCTTCCAGGAAGTCTCCCAAGGTGAGTAGCTTCACCTCTTCCAGGTGCATCTACTTTCAACAGCATGAGAAGAGCCACCGGCAGGCTGGTAGGTGAGGGACACTATTAAAAGGGTCATGGAGTTAATAAGCTGGCAGCTATAATTATGAAAAGAGGCTTTTCTGAATCTCACAGTAGTGGCAGGTCTGCTCAACCCCATCACTTCTGGAGAAACAGATTCAGTCATTTATTTTCTGACCACCGTCCTTGCTCTCCATGAGCTCTCACCTTCATGGTTCTGCCTCAGTGGCAAAGTTTGCACCATCATTTTAATTAAGATTTCCATTTTTGTGGCCAGATCTTCAGCCCAGCAATTGGAAAAACAAAACAAAACAAAAAAAAAAACCCCAAACCCCTGACTTTCTTTAACAAAATGTAAATATTTAGTTAATGCTTGTAAAACAGCTGAAGATGAAAAGCACCCTCTATTTGCAAATCATCATAAATAATGGACATAAAATAGAAGAGGAGGTAAAAGCTCAACTGCACATTTATTCCATTTTCTTAATACGAACTCTGAATGGAAATACTCTACCCCCACACAGCCAAAGCCACTGAGACTGCTAGAAGCAAGTTACCATCCAGTCCTCATATTTCTCAGTTATAAAAGAAGTAGTGGGGGTTTCCCCTTCAATATTTTTAATAGAAACCTTAGCAAATCCAACCCAACTGGACTTGGCAAACTTGTAATTCATCTTGGAGAAATTACCCCCACACTCTGGTGTTCAATGGGCCAGTTCTAGAATGTATGTCATTCTACATACATTCTTCCTGTTTCTTCCCACCTTCTTTCTTTGTTGAGTTTACAGTAGTGCTGAAGGCTAAGCACCTGCAACTGTAGATGCCTTCAAGTTTTTGTAAAATCCAGGGGAAAAATTACTCAGCTGATAGCCTTAGTGAATTTAGAACCTCATTAAATGTCAAAACTATATTTTTAATAGATATTTCTGGTATAACACATGTAAGTCCAGCAATATGTATAAATCTCTAGCATTTAAGGACTTAAGATTTTTTAAATAGATCTTTGTTTCTTTGCTGAGTTATATTATCAGATAAATATCAGTACTTATAGTTCTAGGACAAGATAGAACCTCTAGTGCATTTTCCTTTAGTCAGGGAACAGTCCAGCACACCCACAGAGAACCAGAGAATTTATCACATTATGTTCCCAAAAAAGAAAACAATAATGAACTTGCTTAGGAGTTAAAAGTTTTAAACAAGTGGCCCCATATGTTCATCATTTCCTTGGCCTTTTATTTTGCCAAATACTAAAGAAATGAATAGAAAGGAAAGATATGACAGAGAGAAAAAGAGGAAGAACCAGAAAGAGAAAAAAAAAAGAAGAAAAAAATCAGAACACTCTTCCTTGAAAATTATTCACAAATTCAGATTTTAAAGATCTTTCTTTTTATCTGAAATAAATGGAATATCAATTGATTCCAGATGTCTGGGCTACAATGAAAATGCCCAGTAAAATGTGAGGGCAATAGTCATAAGAAAATACTCACTGTAGGTGTAATCATTTTTGTTTGTTCCAGGTCTTTTACAGCAGGTCAGGGTGGGTATTATGAGGCTGATGTGAATAGAAAACTGAGGACTTAAAAACATGTGCTGCTTTGTGGGTGGGGTTTGTGAAAGCATCTAGTTACATTTGGACACCCAGGCAGGTATGCTATAAGCCTGGGTAAGCTGCCTTTTGTCCATTCAAACAATGAACAAATTGCATCGCTGGGATTTGAGTCAATTTTGCCCCCCAATCAAGCCACCAATTTCCATTGTGTGCCCATTGTCACCACCTGGAATAGTGACTCGAGCTCCAGTCTCCTCCCTTACTTCCTTCCCCCCCGACTCACTTGGAAATACCTCAAGCCTCAGAGTACAATCAGCTTGTGGGTTCTGCTCTAGGCAGGACACCTTTACTCATTGAATTACCTTTGAAAGACCACACAGCTCCCTCTGACCTCTTCCCACATCATGTACAGGAAGAAGTGACAACTTATTGCTAGCTTCACTTCTGAAATGCTCAGCATACACAGCATGAAAAGTTCATCTGGAGACAATTTTCCAGACTTGTAATTAATGCAGAGATAACATTCCACAGCCTCTTTTATGATCATCGAAGTAGGGAGACAAAAACTCCAGCTGCCAGACCACATAGTATATAGGTATGTTTACTTCACTTCTTTTAGTGTGTGTTGCCATCTCAAAAATAGCAGAATCAGGTGCCTGACAAAGGTGTATCCTTAATTCCCAAGCAACTTACTCGACTAAGAAAAATCCCAGTGGTGAAGTATTTGAAAGCAGCAGATGAATGCTACACTAAGTGGCAGGGACATTTTATGAATTGAGCCCTCAGGAAATTGTATCGGTGGAGCCAGTGACAGTGGCTTTAAAGTGCTTGCAAATTAAAAAAAAAAAAAAAAAAAAACCAAAACACAAGTCTTGAAGGATATAATTTTGCTGAGAATGGAAACTTGAACTAGGGCCAGTGATCAGAAACGAGAAGTCAGTGCATTCACAACAGCAGCCAAAATTACCTAAAGAGACTTTATAACACCAAGCATAAAATCAGAGTTTTACAACACAATACCCCAAGTGCAAACTTTGCCCATGTAAGTCTTCTTCAGAAGAGAGAAGTTGGAAAAGCAGCTGCTAGAAATTTCTGCTTTCCTTGTACAGTATGCATTGTTTAAATTATACAAATATTCGAGGTCAGCGAGATTTGTCAAGGAGTTCTTTTTTGGAAGAGCAAATTAAACTTCACTCTAACTTTGACTCTCTGGGCATAAGTGCAGAGAGTTCCGGGACCTTAGTTCCAAAGATCTCATCTTTAAAAGCTTTAATATCATCTAAAATGTAACTCTTCGTATGTGGCATGCCTTATAATAAAGTCCTGACAAGTTACACACACACACACACACACACACACACACACGCACACACACACACACGCACACACACGGTCTTAAAAATAAAACATCTGCACCTGCGAAAAAAAAAAAATATCCCAAAGTTTGTATCCATGCTCAATAGCCCTTAGCCATAGACAGGATTAACACACACACACGCACACACACGGTCTTAAAAATAAAACATCTGCACCTGCGAAAAAAAAAAATATCCCAAAGTTTGTATCCATGCTCAATAGCCCTTAGCCATAGACAGGATTTAAAGGAATCTTCTATAATGACACCACCGAAGCCCTGCAGAAGTGGAGGATTTAGTATAAGTACCTTGCAATAGTTTCTACTCATACAGATATCTGTCCAAATGCATCCATCTCCCGGAGCTATTTTTTCAGATCCCATAGAATTGCATATTCAGCAATTTATAAATAACTCCCAGTTCCGAAACAATGAAAATTCTAAAGTGAATAACAGTTCTAGGCAGAAGCAAACAGCACACAATTTAAATAAAATTCCCCAATGACTTGAAAGAGTAAAAAATATTTACCTTCAAGAAATCACAAAAGCAGCACTTAAATAATTGGGTTGGAAGACTGCTGATTTTTCCCATTGCTTCTGAAGTACAAAGTCTGGAAATGAATTGGTTAGCAGGAATAATGAGGCAAAAAGAAATCCAGAGAGATGGGAGATGTTGAGAGCAATGTCACATTTCAATTTTGAGGACTTTATTCCATTGCGCAGGCTCTATCTGCTCTGAATTTAGCAGTGACAGTGAGATTTAGCAAACAGAAGAGGGATTTAGAGAAAATCCTCACATTTATCTACAAAACACAGACACTGTAGACAGGAAACAGCTGGGGGAACATTTGCCTTCTCTCTCTCTCCCTCTTCTGGCAAAGTTATCGAGTAAGGACTTTTTTGGGCATGGTGACAAATAACATCATACCTTTGCATTTTAAAACTAGAGCACAGAAGCATTTTTTTCCCTTAAAAGAATGTGTGTTAGTGACAGGGTTAGCAGACATTAAAATACTTATACTGCCATAGAAAATAAGGATCTGTTCTCTGATTAACTTTCTACTCGGCATGAAGACACACGTCTGCTACATAATACACCTAACTGGTATTAAAGGAATATAAGTGGGGGATGGGCAAGCAATTTTATATTCAAAAGCATATGGAAGATTTAAAAAAAAACCCAAAAAACAAAAACAAAGGAAAAAAAGACCATTTTTAGGAAACCCTACAATTTTAACCCTGAGATGACCAGAGTGAAATAGATTGGAAAACAGCACTTTGGTGACCCCTTGTCCTAGTTGCAGAGTGAGGGAAGGGAATGATTTCACCTCCTAACCTACAGAAAAGACCGGCAGCATCAGGTTCGCTCTGTCTTTAGGACACTGTCTTGTACTTTGTGCTCAAGACACAACGAAGACTATGCTGAGCTGTAAAGCCAGTTGAAAAATAAAATATTTTTGTTCATTCCTCTATTAGGCTTTCTGTCACCCCTCAGCCCCCACCCACGGGGAAAGGCATCTGAGGGGCAAACTATTTTCTACTTGTTCATATTTTTCTGCATACCTTGAACCTGTGTGTGTGTGTGTGTGTGTGTGTGTGTGTGTGTGTGTGAGTGTTTTTTCTTTCTCCAATTTTCGTGTATTCTAAATAACACCAGCTGGCTAGCAATACCCTCTCGAGGGTTATGATGTCATTCAAATCCCTCAGCTGGGTGAGTGACCGGCAACATGGTCAAGCCAGCTGTTTTGCTATTTATAATGTATACTTGCCTTTGCCATTGAGAATCAAGTTCTGATCTTTTGTTGATATGTTTGTACCTATTTCTCTTCTGTTCTGCGGGGCAGTAGATAAGAAAGTAAATTATGAAATAAGGCTGTAAAAGCCCAGATCAGACATTCCACTTTCCCTAGGTAACTTTTTCCAGCCTTGGCTTCCCAGGGATGTTGGAAATAATCTAGACTTTGCATTTCTCTCTTGTGATTCTCAGGGGACTCAAGGATACTGGCACTTCACCTGAAAATAGAGGTCTGCTGGCAACCCTAGTCTGGCTCCTTATGTTGCCTGGTGGGCAGAAATTTGTTTGAAAGGAAGCAACAGAAAACCTGTTTTTGAAAGGGGGTTGGGTCTGGTCAAATCTTCTGCATAGTTAATACCTTGTAGCAATGTTTATCTTTCGGAAAAAAAGTTAGAAATATGGCTTTATGCTGTTTCGATGATGCACTATATTCGGCATCATTTCATGAGCACCTACTATGTGCCCAACTACACACATCCCTAGAGAAACAAAGAGGAATAAGATATGGTCAAAGCCCCTCAGGGGCTTTCAGATGAGTGACCAAGACAGAGGAAACTTCAGTGTGATGTGATGGGCATGGGCTCTTTCAAAAACATGAATAGTGCACAGTAGGGGGAGTGACTAATTCTCAGGGAAGACAGGAAAGTGAAACCTTTTTGAAAATCCAGAACAGAGGAGGAGGGATTGTGCCATAAGAAGCTTTGGGGTACAAGGTTGGGAAATTTCAGTGGGTAGGATTTGGCCTGGAGAGTATAAAAAGATGCGTCATCAAGTGGTGGCCCTGTAGGCAACTGCAGATGTGTGGGTAATCCCTGCATTAAAGAATAATCCAAGGCTTCCTTTAACAAGTTCTCTTCATGCACTTGACTTATGACTTGATTTACCAAAATTTTTTTTGTTTCTGCAGCTTTTGCAGATCATGCCCTTTATGAAAAACAAAGTCCATTCTCCTCTTATGGACCTTGATGATGTAGATTGTATGGAACCAACGAAGTGGTGTCACCTGTGTCCCAGATGAGAGAGAACCTCAATTTCCAAGCACAGTGAGTTGGGTTGAGTCTGGCTGAGTCTTGGCGCTGAGTCCCTTGTTCCACCACCAGGCACTTTCACTGGTGAAGACTGGGGCTTTTTTCCATCCCTTCCCATGGCAGTTTTAGTATACCTTAATTGTTCCAAGATGTCTTAGAAACTCACTATATTTCTCCAAGTCTGTCACTCAGTCTGATGTGCTCTCTTGGCACACACTGCACAGATTACCTTATCCTCAACCATTTCATATGAAAGGCTGCTTTGGGACAGAGCACATACATTTCATCAGACACTGCACTCCTGCGATATCGACACACTGACTCCCAGGCTCTTGGTTTTATAACCCCAATTACCCTTAAAGGATAATTAGGTTTTAATTTATGTCCCAATTTTTATGTCACAATCAAAGAAAACTGAAATTTCAGTGAGTCGTAATTGTCATCAGCTGTGCTGTGGAAACATTCCGATGTGAGCTATCAGTTTCCAATGGGGGAAGCAATTTCCTGAAGTGATTAATGTATATTTCAATTGGGAGAATGGTCTATATTTCTGGAGAGCAACAGAACAGAGCAATAATTCCTAGGGAAATGGCCATTTTCTTTGCTAATTCCACAAGTCAATATGAAAATGAAAGGGCAATAAATGGGCCACGTGATTACATTTTAATGACTGAGTGCCATACCTGTTTAGGAGAAAAAGAAACAAATACATCTATTACCAGAGAATCCAAGGTGGTAGTAAATCTAATGCCCAGGAAAAGTTTAGGTCAGGAAGTCCCATTGGAGAGAAACATCCAGGGTCATTCTAATATTACTGAATGATTATGTAGTCTCCTGCCTAGAAAAATCTGACAGCTAGATATGGCAATTGTGTGCCACCAAAATAGCTAATTGCAAGGATATGCTCATCGTGAGAACATCCACTCCTGGTAATTCAGAGATTCACAGTTTCATCTTTTGCATGTGTAATGCCTGTGGGATATAAATAACTCTCCTAAAGCTTTCTTCTTGAGTAGCATTATTTGCATAAAG